TCAGCTGGAGGTGGTCCATTCAGATCAATATTGAACTAGAAAATTTTATTAAAAAAGTTGTATTAATTACAAATTACCCCTCCCTGTCGAATTTGGTGACCTTCGATGTTTTGTTGAATATTTTCTGCAGGCAGATCTGCAAGTAAGATGCAAATAAAAATCTGTCATCCTATTAAAAGTTTAGCGGCCACCAGGGTAGGTAGTATTACTAAGCGTTGGTCAAGTTATTTTAGAACCCTCACTATAAGTAAATCTGTCAATATATAATATTTACCAGTTCCAAGAGGAGAAGTATCGTCCTCAACGGCGGGCATGACATGATCCGCACCCAGTTGAAGACCATTCAGATCAACAATCATCTATAAAATAATTTTATTATGATATTTTAATTATGAATTTAAATTTAAGTCTTAATATAATTTGTCTGGACAAATTCGAGATGAACGGTCAAATTAATTTTGTTATTAAAATCCTCTTTTTCTTTGTCATCAAATTCGGCTAAAATTCTATGAGATTTTTGTGTTCAGTAGCCATGGTTAATTTAGACTATGGTAATGGTTTAGGCTGTTTACCTTCATCCGTAAATTTTTAAAAATAGGGTATATTCTAAGATTTATATTAATAAGTTGAACGATGATCCCAGAGTGAACAGAATATGCACATATTTTCAATTAAAATAACTAAAAAATACATTTATTCCATTAGGATTTTCTACAAAATAATTCGACATATTCAATTGAGGATGTTGTGCCCATTCTAATGGAGTTTGTTCAGTACCTCTATTATGGCCTATAAATTTTATAATTTAGCTTGTCATAAACATTTGTTTTAAATAAATAAAAATTTTTTAGAAAATTTAAAAATGGCTCTATTAGTATATTAAGTTATATAATAATACCGTCACGGAAGTAATCACGAATTCTGAATCCACTCCTTGCGGGACGAGAACTCTATATTAAAATATATATAATTAAAAATCTATAAAATTGTAACTAGAATTTCTAATTTACAATATTAAATATTCGGGAGCAGGCAAACCTACTCCGAGCCCAACCTACCGCGAGCCCAACCTACCGCCGAGCTATAACTACGTTCAGAATTGACGAATCCGGAACGCCCTGGTATGGTCCGATTCAGCTCGTCGAGGCGCATCGAACCATACCTGGTGTCCCGGATTCGACAATTATGAACGAAGTTATAGCTCGGCGGTAGGTTGGCCTCGCGGTAGGTTGGGGTGTACCCAAATATTCTTTTGCAAAAAATTTCTACTGAAAATATTTACACATTTTTTTAGAAATTTCTTTAATAATTTTAGAATTGTTATGGTTCATAAAGTTCATTTGCTTTTTGTGGCAAGAAAAAGCAATGAGGATGAAGATATTCGATGTTATCTCTACTTCTTCTGTTAGTTTAAACCAAGGATTAGGTCCCATTTTTCTACTCAAAATTTTTCCTTTATATGTAAATATAGTATGGACAGATGTTTCCTCAGTTTAATTTTATTCTCTTCTGCATATTCATTACTTTACATACATTAAAAAATTAATTTTTTGTTTATTAACTCTCATTGGATACCCGAAAGGAAATAGAGTGAAATTACGGAACCTCGAATAATTCCCCCTCTCGATTAATTCGCCCTGCTAGAGTTGAGTTGAAACAATAATTCCCCACCCACAAATACCCTACTTCACGTTCAAATGCCGAAACTCGAATAATTCCCCCTCTCGATTAATTCCCCATCCCAAGGAAGGGTTGAAAAAATAATTCCCCAGGGGAATTAATTGAAAAAATACGGTAGTCGAAATATTGTAAACAAAACGGTGCAATTTTTTGTCGCTAAACACTTTTATGTAACCAGAACAACCAGATATTTAGTTATTCGAAAGGCTATAAAAATTTACCTCTCCCTGATCGAATTGACGGATCTGACTATGTTCCGCAGTCCCTTGTTGATTATGTTGAGGGTTATTTATTTCAGTTTGGGCTGGTTGTGGAGCAGAGTAATGTACAGCCTGAATTTTATTATTAAGATCTAATCCCTAGCTATGAAATTTTTAATTAAAAAATTAAAATACCCCTTCTCTTAAAAGCTGAGAACGCGTTATTCGCCTATTTTGCATAATATATTCTTGCTGAGCTCTTCTTTCTTCTGGAAGCCGTCCACGACGTCTAGCTGTCTGAGTAGTTCCCTCATCACCAGTTTCCACACCTGGAGTTCTTCGATTTGCAGGTAGTGCAATTACTACGTTGTCTCTTGAACTAAACGAGTGTGAAGCCCCAACAGATCGTTGAGTAGCCTGATCAGGAGAAGATTTTTTTCCACTTCTTGTTTTTACGCAATCTAGTTCATTCCAAAGCATAACAAATAATAGAATGAAAACAATTTCGAAAAGACGCATTTTAAAATATTTTTCTAGAAATATATAATTGAAAATTTTCAAGAAGTAAGGACACAAGTTTTTTCCCAGCCTAGCAAATAAATAAATAAAGGATAAGTCGGTGATAGCATGATATGATAAAGCTTTTAATAAACTTGCATCGAGAGACTTAGGATCAAATCTCATCCAATCCTTTACCGAGAGACCTTTAGTGTATTATTCATTACAACACCTTGCCCCCTGCATAGCTTTAGGAATTATTTAAATAGCTTTATGCTTTAAAGGAAAATAAATAAAAAATAACAAAAACTAAGGCCTGCCTTTATAAACTATCATTCTTGAGAGGGAATTGGGAAGTGCTTCGATAAAAAATAATAAGCTAATTTATTGGGGAGATTTAAATGGCATTTTCTACTTATATCATAAGTCTTTACTGACATTATAAACTACAAGTTTTTGTATCCTTGCCCTTTTGCCAAAGGAGGCGAGCTTGCATTGAAGCCTGCCATTTATTCAGCCATTCTAGCAAGGCCAGGTTAAGAGCTGTTCGAAATTTCGATACACGATCTTTAAATATTGCCGCTTTTGGCAAAAGGACATGGATACAAAAATTTGTAGTTTATAATGTAAATAAAGACTCGGGATAGAAAATGCTATTTAAATTTCTCCAATAAATTAACTTAATATTTTTTATCAAAGTGCTTCCCAATTTCCTCTCATGAATAATCTTTTATAGAGGAAGGCCTTAGTTTCTGGTTATTTTTAATTTATAAAGATATTTAATTCCTAAAGCTATGCAGGGGGCGCAAAAATGCTTTCAATATAGAAATGCCTTAAAACCTTTATTTTTGGGCACTGTTCCGCAAGTCACTAGACATCTAAATTGTTTTTGAAAGGTTTTTGAAGATCAAAATATGTACTATTTAAAAATGAGAGTATTTGAAGTTTATTTACAGTGGTGGAAAAAAGTATGGAAGCACTAGAAAAAATTTTTTTAATTCGTAATTTTTCATTCAAAAAATACGTTCTATTTATATAGCAATCGAAAGCTCTAATTGTATCTCAGTTGCATATTTCTGCATTTTTCATGAAAATGAAAATTGGCCGAGATAATCCGGATCTACCGGATATAATAAATCCCATAATCTCGGAAAAATTTTTCGGAAAAATTTAACAAACCCAGTTGATAAAGCATATTTTTTTGAGTATTTACCACAAACCCGCTTAGAAATATCTTTCTCGGGACCAGAGATATGATTTTTTGAAAATGGCATTTTCATCTATTTTTGCAAAAAAATCCGCTAAAAAATAAACATAAAGTTTTATACTTTGACTTTTAGCAAGTTAAATGAATCGAAAACATCAAAGAAGAGAAAGAATGAATTTACTCAACCATTTTAAGCTAAATGTTAAATAATAAAAGAAAATTAGAAAATTTTAAATAATGGTCAAATGTAATCACTATAATAATCGTAACGGTCTCCTCCATCTTGTTTTCTTTTGAGAAAGTTTATTTGCTTTCTAGATCATCATCATCTGAAGATGGAGCAAGATAACCTGTAAAGATTACAATTATGATTTGAATAAAATTTAATTTTAACTTGAAAGAAATAATTTTAAATTAGATATAATAAGTAAAATAAAGGTAAAAGTTTAGCCCGAGCATTCAGCAATCCTGTGATCTTTTGAAAGTTATTGCTGCGCGCTCTAGCTCTCCAAATCTATCGACTGAGATAATGAGGCGCTGCGTTTTTTTCTTTTTTAATATAGAGTAAGCGTTTTAAATGCATGCCGTTTTAAATTCTAGACAGCTGAATCTCTCTTATTCCTTTCTCTTAAATACAACAAATTGAAAAATATTTGATGAAAGTTAAGAAATTATTTTGACAAGCGTTCAAACAAGATTATGTTCAAATTAAATATTTACCGCTTATAAGAAGAGGGGTACGTGGATGAGGGCGACGCGTGTTGATGCCAGATGAAGTTCCACCAGTTGTTAGTTGAGGACCTAGAAAATTGAAGTTTTATAAAAACGTTTATCTGTATTAGTTTCACCGGCTTCGCTATGACGCTCTTGCTGAGATCTTGCTACTTGCTGAGCTGTTCTTTCTTGCTGAGCAGCAATTCGTTCACTTCTTTTCGTTGGTGTTTGTGTATTAGCCGCATGATGTGGCGGTTGTTCGGGTGCATTGTTGTCTCTTGGGGGCGAAGCTCTTCCAGTTGGTTGTTGAGGAGGTACAGCCTGATAAATTTATTTAAACGGTTTCTTTTTTTACAATCTCTTTATTAGATATTATAAATACTAATATAAAAACAATTTCCATTACATTAATTTCAACATTAATTGGATACTTGTAATAAAATCTGGAATCACGGTGATACTGATACTATCCGACTCAGTTCGCCTGGAAGAATCGAATGATATATGAATTGTAAGGCGGAGACTTGTATTGCAAATCCTAAAATGTAAAAGTCCCCGCCTATCAATTTATCCTAGCATAAAAGCAAGCGATAAACACTTATAGTCAATTCAATTGGAATTCACTTGGGGTTCAGTTAGCATTCACTTAAGGCTTTAAATCAGCGAGCAAGCGTAGTCCTCTCTTTAGTTTAAATAAAGCTATTTAATCTTCAATGTAATCTTACAATAAATAAAATGAAAAGGGAAATAAAAGCGCTTATAATAAAAGTTTCTGGATATCGAATGTTGTTCTCGTTACTTCTTATTATTTCATTATTAATCGAAATGTATTTTACCTATTATTATCATATTTGTCGCGCTTATCTTACATTTTATATTAGTCAATAAAATTCATATTTCTCGTCTAAGGTCCTTCTGGACCACAAATGAGGGTTTGAGAAAGAGAGTGAAGAGAGCGATATCGTAGACTCCAAAAGGATAGAAAAGGAATGCACCACTGCGTTTGAGAAGGGACACCTCAATAGGGATTGGGACCAACACACTTTGCTGGTAGCACCGGATGGTTTTGGTTCACAGTGAAAACCCTATTTCAAAAATAATAAGAATAAAAAATAAAGTTTTTACTAGAAAAAACGAGTCCAAAAGTCAAAGTCAGTCAAAACCCTAATCTTTGATCTTATTTTTCTTATTTTTTTAATTTTTATGTCTTTACACAACAAATTTCTTTCCTCTCATAAAAAGAGAAATAAAAAGGTTGAAACAAACAATAAAAAGAATTCACGTGCATTTAAAATTACAAATTTAGAAACATTTTACCAGTCATTTGATTCGGTGCCTCTTCTCACATAAGGGAAACGAGGAAGTGGGGTAGTGATTTATTGCATTAAAAGAGTGAAATTAACAAAAAATTAAGAACAAAAACCAAAAAAAGCAAGATTTACAAACTCTATAAATTTTATTAATTGAAAAAGTCACAAAAAAATCATTTTAAGGTATTTAAAAATTTTTCCTTTATGTCTCCATTTTATAAAAAAAAAGTAATTAGTGTTTCAATTAATTAATTATTTAATTTTTCAATATTTTTCCCCCAAAGAAAAATCTCTCTTTCCAAAAAAACCCATTTCCAACTCTTTTTTTTTTATTTCTTTTAATTTTCATATATTCTATGGGTTTCAATCTTTTACTTTCAGTTTTGTTTCATTATATCCCCGCATAAAAAAAAGAGATTGTTTTTACAACAAAAATGGGAAAAAATTTAGTGGTAGCGACTGTCTCATAAAAGTGAAAAAGAAATGATTAGTCACTTTTTCCTAAGTTTTCACAATGATTTCCTTGCGATTGTAAATAATAAAATAATTTTATTTTTCAAAACATTATTTTTGTTCAACAAAAAGCCTTATCAAACATAAATATATTTTTTATAATTTTTGTGAATGTATTTTTGATCATTTTTTTTGGTATAATTTGACTCGGGAGTATTGGTTTTGCTATTTTTTTGGGAAATTTATTCGAAATTTATTGTTTATTATTTCTTTTGTAAAATCTATTATAAATTATTCGACTTAAATGGATTCTCCTCTCATTGGCAAAAATTATTTGGGGAAATGGCAAAAATTTGTGGAAATGGCAAATTTGTGGAAATGGCAAAAATGAGGATGAATAAAACTACAAAATTGACTACTCACAAAAAGACGACAAAAATGAGACTGTAAAAAAAATGAGAAGGATATATGGTACAGGTAGTTAGAAACAGTCTAAAAGCCAAAAAATAGAAAAATTAAAATTTCTCTTCTTATAACATAAGCTAATCTGAATATAAAAGTATCTCATCCTTCTCAGTCAAAATTTTTTAGTTCTCATAGTCCATTATAAATTCTTAGTTATTAATAAACGGAAAGAATAAGGTTTAAAAGTCGTATTTTATTGTTGTACTTTTCTTTAAAATTGTTTTAAACCTTTAATTGAGTAAATCTAATGCCTTAAGGCACCCAAAAAAATACGAGTCAATTATAACTAACACGTGTCATTGTAAATTATTTTTTAACTCAAAATCAACTTTTACATAGATTATTTTTTCACTCAAAAATTAGTCTATTTTACGAATTATTTAAATTTCTTTTCATTTAATTTAAATTTGTATTTAGTAGATATTTAGCATTTTTTCATAAAGTTAATATATGATATAGGAAAATAATTTATAAATCAAAATTTCATTTGAAAATCAAAAATTCATTAACCTTTGTTTTTAATTTTTTTTATATATCTTTTAATTTTCGGTACAAAAAACTTTATTAATAGCTTCCTCATAGAAAGAAAAGTACACTTTGCTAGTTGTTCCCATGTTTATAGAAAATTGTTACAATTAAAAGAGATTAAATGGGAAAATATTAATAAAGAAAATGTTATAGGAAACAAAAGATCCCTTAACACTATTAGTTAAAATAAGTTAAAGGCTAACGATTTAAAATTTTTTTAAAAATATATTTTCGATAAACTGTTCTATTCATTCAAAATCATAAATGTACAAATAACCTATTAAGTAAATTTCAAATAAATCATAAAAAAAAAATCATTTTCAAATTTTCAAAAAATTTTTTTGTTCAAATCCACAACATATTTTTTTTAATTCATATACTGTGCCTAATCTTTCAAAGTACTGTCAGAAAAATCACTCTTTTTATAAAACATTACTAATAAGGAAGAATTTGTGTTTTGATGTTAGCGGCCATCTGGCGCAAAAAAAAGAAATGGCCTTTATAACATTACAAAAAGAGGAATTTATTTTAAGTTTTCAGACAACAATTCCTTTATAAATATATAGAAAATAGGGTTCCTTGGTAAAATTTTGAATAAACATAAAAATGTGATTAAATTATTCATCAGATTTATTTATAACTGGTTAGCCACCTGGTTCTCCTTTAAAACATTTCCAGACACATTCACAAATTCTTTACTATTATTTCATTTTCCCGCAATCTTAACCAGACCTTTTAGTATGATTCATTAGAAAAGGAAAACATCTCTTTAATATAAAAAAAAAGGTTTTTACATTTCTGTGTGCTTCAAAATTTCCATTTAGATCAACAATGTATAATTATAATTTTTCCAATATGTAATTAAAAGAAAACCTTAGTTAAAAATCAAAGTATAGAAAAAGGCCCTATCATAAACTAAATAGTTCGACTCAATCTCGGACTAGTTATACACGATTACTGTTTTAAGAACTGCGACAAGAACTTTTAATTATTACATTTTTAATTAAACTTTTACCTCGCTCTTATTAAACTTTTTAAAATTAAACTTTTACCTACTTTTACTTTACCTCTAACCAGACCTTTTTTCATTGGAAAAAGAAATGTAATTTACATTAGAAAAGAAATCTTTCCTGCTTAGTTTTTTACAATTTAGTGTGCTTTAATAATCGCATTCGTAACAATAATTTTAATTATTGTTTTTATACCTTTTTTTTAAATATATATAAGTTAAAGAAGACCCTATTGTTTAAAAATTAAAGTCAGAAAAAGGGTCTCTCATAAAACTAAATAATTCAACTCAATCATAATCTGTTTAGATATTTTTATCAATCCTAAATTTTTTATTGTATATTACTCGTTTATCTGTAGAACCTCTCAAATGTCTGAAACCAGTAAAAGTTAATGTCACAATCACATTTAGAAGTAGGTCATAACTCTAAATATTTTGCGGTAGCTTGTTGTAAAAGATATAACAAAAATTTGTGTATAAAACAAGTATGATGTAGAAAACTTTCCGGAAAATAAGTTGTATTTCAAAAAAAAAATAATATTAGAAGTAAAGAATTTTTCAGGAAAGTTTTAACAATCATACAAGGACGCGTATACAAATTTAAATGGCGTACTATTAAATTATTCGTCGAAAATAGTATCGAAACAGTTAGTACCTGTGAGATATTCTTGATAAAAGATATACATTTTATTTTTATAAAAAGTTTACACAAAAAAAATGTTGTCACTTAATCATTTTTTATTGTATTTTCTTTTAGATAGGTAACATAATTCATACACTTAATAATTTTATAAGAATATAACGAAGCATTCACATAATTAGAAAATAAAACTTTAATTATCATGTTATTTAGCATTAACTTTTAATTAATATTATTATTTTGGTAGAAATTCTAAATAATCATTACCGATATAACAACCATTACATAGAAAAAGTAGACTTTTGAATTATTCTGTAAACTACTTGAATTTATATCAATTTGTCAGCATTAACAAAATAAACATTAAATTAATTATATTGAGCATTATAGGAAAAATGATTTTACTTAAAAAATATTTTTTTTGTTTTTTGTTTAACAATTAGAACTCATTTAGTTTTGATTTTTTTAAATTATTCTGAATGGTGTATTTATTATTATTTTATTTTCAACAATTAAATATAACATATATAAAACAAATCTTCACCTTGCAGGATTAGATTATTACCTTTCTGAATTAATGTTTTTTTCGAATTAAAACTTTTACCTCGCTCTTACCTCTGAATTAATTATGACATTTTGGACTAAACTTTTACCTCGCTCTTACTGGTAAAGATTTTACCTTGCTCTTTATCTCGCTCTTAATTCTTAGTCAGTGTATTTAATGATTTTATGATATTTCTATAATTTTAAATTTTATCATTTTAATTTTTAATTATTACATCTTGGGTTAAATTTCCACCTCGCTCCTATTCTTACCTCGCTCTTAATGGGTAAACGTTGATAATGAATCAGGTAATAATTAAATAAAGCTGTTAATACTTCCCAGAAGAATTTGATAGTAGAAAAGTCACTGATTAATGGGTAGTTTACAATCTTTAAAGTTTTTTACAATTATTAATTTGTAAAAGCAAATTCAAATTTTTCTTTTGTTCTCCAAATTTATTTTCTAGCTTTTATTTTTACAATTACAAACGTTAAATTATTTTAATGTAAATTTGAAAATCCCTATTTAATCTATATTCAATTACTTTCGCGAAATATATTTCAATACCATATTCGCCATAGAAAATCCAATTACAAATCCAATCAGCATGATTAGTATACTTTGAACAAAAAAAAAATCAAAGGGTCAAAGGTTCATTCATAAAAGCGACTATACTAATGCGACAAATAATGGCAAAGATTAAACTAATAAAAAGGGTGAATGGGAAAAGGGATAACAAAAAGGTAAAGCAAAAGAGAAACTGATGACAATCTACTTTAGCAGTCAATTACAACAAAAAATACGCTTATAATATAAAATCCCGAAAGGAAAAATGACAGGAAATAAAATCGCAGGCTGTGATTAGCCTCTGTAAATAAACAAACATGGGAAAATATAAGTTTAATAAATTTTATTGTAACCATTAGTAAGGATGAATATCATTTAGTTTTAAATGATACATTGAGAACAGAAAAGATTTAACAAACTAAGGCTCACAAAAAAAAATTTTTTTTGAACATCCATCTAATGGATTAAATATAACAATACCTTTGAAAGTAAAACTTTATTTATTCGTAGAAATAAATAAATATAATAGAATGTTTTTAATTAAATAAATTCTCAATTTTAGATTTAATTCTAATTAAAATCTAATTTACTCTATTAACTCCAAACAATCCTAGCATTCAATGGGAGATCCTCCCAATAGTACAGATATATCAGTATCTGTAACTACTAAAAATTCCTTTTGGAATAAAAATGAAAGTGAGAGCGCGCGGCTATCCGATGTAAAGCGCATGTATGATATAACGCACACTCTAGAAGAAGCAATAAACCGAAGTCTAAGACTAGTAAATAGACGCGCGACAAGCAATACCACCGCGATAAACGAAATGGCAGCCGGGGTTAATGCAAACCTTGAGGCAATAAATAATCGCATTGATACGTTATCCCATAAGGTATCCCAAGTCGAAACCAACTTGGACATGAACTCCACTAATAACACCTTAGAATCGGCTAACCAAACGTTAGCAGATATTCAAACACAGGAAGCAATTGACGATACAATTGTTGGTGAAGCAGACCAAATTAATATGATTAATGTACTTGAAAAAGATGGAATCATGTCCACATACAAAGATGAATCGGTAGTTACTTTTGATACATGGGCACAAAAATTTAAAGACCTGCTTGACTGTGCACCAGCAAATTGGGACGAGGCCACAAAATTGCACAGACTAAAATTCCATTTAGAGGGTACAACCAGGTCCATTTTTGATAAACTCAGGCCAAATGAAAAAGATACGGTTTCAAATGCCTTAACTGCTATTAGGTCGAAATTAGCAGCTCCACATAGGTTAGAAATTTCAAAAAGGGAATTAATGATGTGTAAGCAAAGAAATAACGAAACTGTTAGAGAATTCATGACTCGGTTAGTCCCATTAGTACGGGCCACTTTTGAAAATGAAACTGAAGCACAGAAGCAGGCCAAAATTCGCGAAGAATTTTTAGAGAGATTAAGGCCTAATATAAGCTTTCTAATTAGAATAGTAGGATCTGCCAAGGACCTAGATGAATTATACGCAAAGGCACAAGAAATAGAAGTATTAACCGCGACTAACGAATCGTTTTCACTTGACAACCCGAGGGGTTTAGCTAATTCAATTAACATAATTCAAAACCCTAAACTTCCTGAAACTAATATTAATTCCTGGGTACGAAATCCAAATCAGAATAATCAATATCAATCATCATCAACCAATATCAATCATCATCAACCAATTTTTTCACTTCGCGAATTTAAACCTTATATTTTTATGTCCGATGTCGAGCTACACACAGATCATAAACCTCTAGCTTATTTATTAAAGAAAGCTGAGGCACACCCACACCTCGCTAGATGGCTAATAGAACTCCAATCTTATCAAATAAAAATAGTTCATATAGCGGGAAAACAAAACTCGTTAGCAGACGCACTATCTAGGATTAATGAAGAAGAACCTGAAAAAGTTGGAAACCTAAAAGAGTTGGAAGACATCGCAGAATTCCCAGTGTGTTTAGCGATAAAACCTAGTAGTAGATTAACAACAGATAAAATAATTAACTCAGTAATTCTAAGAGACAATAAAGGGCAATCATTTACAGTAGAAATTAAAACCGAACAAAGGGAAGATCCGGAAGCAAAAGCATATATAGACTTTTTAGAAAATGGTACTACCCCAGTCGGATTCACAGAAGCAGAAATCGCTAGTTTTATTAACAGAGCGGCAACACTCTGTTTAGATTCAGATATTCTTTACTACAAACCTTCTGGTTTTAAAATGAGACTTTACATTCCAGTTTCTCTTAGATCCCTTATTTTTGAATCCTTTCACAATTCACCTCTAGGAGGGGGGCATCTCTCGGTTAAGAAAACAATAAGAAAATGTCAGAAATATTTTTGGCCAAGAATGTATACTGACATAAATGAGTGGACAAAACAATGTATTACCTGTCAATTAAGACACTCTCCTACCCCAGCTTATAGGGCTGAAATGGCAACGGCACCTTCTAATACATTATTTGCAAAAGTAGGGCTAGACTTGGCCGGACCATTCCCAGTCACAGAAAAAGGTAATAAATATATATTAAATATAATATGTTGGTTCACTAAGTACATAATATCTGTCCCCGTACCAGACACAAAATCCCAGACAATAGCCAAAGCATTTTTGAATGAATGTTATCTTAAGTTTGGGGGGTGTACTGAACTAATATCTGACAACGCAACGACCTTTACCTCAGAGTTCTTTAAGGAATTCTGTCACATGCTTTATATAAACAAAAAATATGCAATTCCAAACTGGTCCCAAGGTAATGCCATAACAGAGCGAACGTTTAGAACATTCAATAACATACTCTCTAAATACATAACTAAAAACCAGCCTAATTTCGATGAATTTTTGAACTTTACTAATTTTTGCTATAACACTGCGGTACATAACACAACAAATGAAACTCCGTTTTATTTAATGTTTGGAAGAGACCCGATTTTTTGCGTTGACCAAATATTAGATCCAAGAGTCCGCGACCCAATAGCCTTTAATGACACTGCAGAATTCAAACAATTGCTTGTTACCTCGCTCAGGGTAGCTTGGGAATCAGCAGCAGAAGCCCATAAGGAATCCCAAATAAAAATAAAAGAGCAATATGATAAACATACAAGGGTTTCGACAATTGAAATAGGGGATAGGGTGTTAATCCGCAACTACGCAGGAAAGCCCGGAACTTCGAAGAAGTTCCACCTCCCTTGGAAAGGCATATATCGAGTAATAAATATAGAAGGGATATACGTCACAATAACTAGTTGTAATTCACCACAGGCAAACCCAAGGAAGGTACATGTAAATCAGATTAAAAAATGTTTTGAATATATGGGTCCACTGTGTACAATTCCGAGATTATCACAAGAAGAAGTGAATTCTTTAAAAAGTGCAGAAGCTATAGAAATTGAACATGCCCCGGGATTTGATCACAACTTAAACACTGATTCCATCCAAAATACTAATCATGCTGATGGTAATAAGAGTCGAGACAATACCGAGTGTCGAGAAAACCCAAGCACTCACAGATACAATCTAAGGCCTAGAAATCCGTAAATATACCATCATTTTATCGCGAATTATCTCAATATAATGTTAACTAAAATCTTTATCTCAATTTCAGATATAATAATAAAAAAAAAATCTATTATTAATTCTTTTTTAAAAAAAATGTCTTCAAATAATAATGAATTAAATGCCTTCTGGCATAATAATGAGAGTGAGTGGAAGAACGAGCTTCCAGTGGTTACGTTGAAAATGGGAGGTAAAGCTTATCCTTTCTTAGGGCAGCTCCACCCGTTGTCAAACTTTTTCTATGCTCCACTGGTATGGAAAAACTTATCCTTTGATTGTGTAGAGCAGGCGTATGTGTGGGAAAAAGCTAACTTCTTCGGTGATATTGTTAATGCTAACAAGGTAAAGTCGTTAAAACATTTGGGTGGGGGGTGTAACAATAAAATGCCTTCTGGCATAAAAAAGAAAGTTCATCCAAGGAATTATAAATGGATTGGCAAAGAAGTAGTGGGGGATTTAAAAATACAAAAAGAGTGGTCTAAGGTAAAAGAGAAGCTTATTGAGGAGATAGCATTCGAAAAGTATAACCAGAATGCGGAACTAAAGCGTCTCCTCTTGAGTACAGGTGAAGGGTGGATATTAGAGGCCAATCCAAGAGATAGTGAGTGGGGAGTTGGGTATGGTATGAGTGATCCTATTCTGGAGCAGTTCACGCCTGAATCGGAGAAATTCGGAACAAATAAAATGGGTAAAATATTAATGAAAATCCGGGCAAGGTTAAGTCAGGTGGAACTCCCAGAGTATGAGGATATGGACATAGAGTCGGTGTCATCTGACACAGAGACGAGCGAAATTGAAGTGCCTTCTGGCATAAACAAAAGTGTCGAGTATGAAGTGCCTTCTGGCACAAAAATGAAAAATATTTTACAGTCGTCGGGTCGTGAAGTGGAATCTTCAGGGGTCTCAGAATGGGTTAATAAAGATAGTGGTTGGGACCAGCCTTCGAGCTCTCAGCAGTCGGAGCGAATAAATCCTGAAGACCTCCCAGATGAGGCAAGAATTACGTCTTCAACACCGGAACCGGCTCGTGATGATGAAGCTGTATTAGGAAAAGGTCCATTAAGGTACATGATCGCCAGAGCCAAAGATGGAGAGTTGATTGGTGCGAGAATATCAGGAAAAGGTCCGTTCTTCACAAAAATTCCTGAAAATTTGGTGGAAGGGGGACACCGAAAATTACAGTTGGGGGATCTTGTTGAGGTAGGTGAATGGGAGGACAGAGAGGGGTATGAAGTTTTAGGTAAATTCGCGGCAAATGGACCGAATGATCCAGCGGCCCAAGGGCGTTATCCCCCGTGGTTATTTTCAGGTACAATAAACTACCAGGCCACCGCGACGTCGGCAACAGTTGAATTAGTCAGAGAAGCCCCAACTTGGCTACCAGCCTTAGTAGTCTCGGTAAACATTAACAGAGCAAGAGGTACCTTTAAATCGGCGGAGCTAATGGCACCGGATATGCTTCGTAGCCAGGTAATCAATTCCAGACAACTCACAAACATTCACCATGAAGACCTGAGAACCGGTCACTTTATCGAGGTAAATTTGTGTGCAATTAATTCCCCGCAGATATGGAGAATGGGTTCCTCATATATTCTACCTGAGAAAACTCCATTCCGTGTCGGTGATGAAGTATGGGCGCACCAGAACTGGATTATTATCGGAGCTAGGCCATTGTCAGAACAGATTTCTTATCCACTCCGAGCAAACTTTTCGTCGTCTAGGGTAGGTTTAACATTAGCAGCAATGTCAGCTGTTGTAGCACACCAGCGAGATGTTGAAGAGCGTCGTTTAATCAAACATTCAGTCACGTCTATCCTGTACTGGTTAGAAGATGACAAAGCCAAAAAGAAGACCGTTGACAAGACCCTATTGTTGAGATTCTTTATCCACACAAAAGACCTTAAAGAGCTTCAAGGTTATTGGAAAACTTACGAAGAAGATTCTAACGTACACATAAAAAGACCTGATCATGATACTAAAGTTTGCAGATATGGCGAAATAAGACAGGCCAGGAAAAATATAACTCGTGATGGCTATAACATGGAAATAGTCATGGCGGCCCGCTTTCAAGACGCAAAAAATTACGAACGGGGGTTTGACGATTGGCATGACTTAGTAACCAGTGAATGGGAGGCACGAATAATACCGATTTCGAACACAAAAATGTTACATCGAAGGGAACTGACTCTCATGGACGGACTGCCCTGGTCGTTTGCCCAATCTGATCATCCCATTGCCCCAATTGCAAGTGCTCTCTTAGGTCGTGAACGCAGGGAACCGCCACCACCTCAACACATTGGAGGCATTGTAGATGAACACCCGGCCCTTCAAACATTAAATGAGCAACAGCTCTTAACTGTTGCGATGTTCCTGGATAACCGACCCAGAGTAATATTTAATCAAGCCCCGCCAGGAACGGGTAAGACCTGGGTATCGGGGGCGGCAATAGCGGCGACACTCCAACGGGACCCGAAAGCAGTCATATTGGCCACAGCACCTATAAATGTAGCTGTTTGTGAACTTGCCGAAGACACGGATAAGGCAATGAGAATGGCTGGCCAACAAGTTCCCATGTTGGCCATCTTCTCAGGTAATGGAAAGGCCCGATATATGGAAAGAATCAGACAGGTGGGTGAACATTTAGTTGTTCATAGAGTGAAGGATGAAGACATTCGGGAGGAGTTGATGAAGAAAAGCGGTAAATTGATTCAGAAATATGAAAGGGATTGGGAAAGGGCGCCAAGAAGGGCTCAAGAGCGAGCAGCCTCATTTGAGGTAAGCCAGCTTAAAAAGTTTAGGGTGTTTTTCATGACCATGGCTTTGGCAGAAGAATTCCAGTCATTTCTAGACGCAAGCATGGCAAGCCCGCGTGAGAACAAGTCTGTAATAACACCTACCATAACTCATATGGTGGTGGATGAAGTTGGACAGTGCCAGCACAACGCCATTCTTTCCACAATCTGCCAGTACAGGAATCTTCGCAAACTTTTGCTTACTGGCGACTACTTGCAGTTACAGGTTTATACCCCAAGTCAGCCACAAGTAGTGAGAAACAAATGGGCAATGAACTCAATAATTGGAATCGTGCAGGACTACGCAGGTATTAGTAATAATAGACTCGTAGTATCTTTCAGGTCACATCCCAGTATTGTGCGATGCCTAGAAGCCAGTGTCTATAGACCAGCAGGAGAGCAATTCCGCGCGGGACTTACAGAAGCGCAGAGGAATTTACTCACAGACGAAATTGGTATAAACCTTCCTGTTCAGACCTGTCCCATTGTACTCATACATCAAAACACCATGACCATGCAAGACGCGACTTCGTTCTCGTTAACAAATCCTGGGCACACTGAAACGGCCATGGCATTAATCGACATATTAAGCCAGCCACTACTCGCCAGGCGTAAGAGAATCTTAGTAATTTGCTTCTATATGGCTCAAATGGATGTGATAAAAGAACAAGTGGAGGCAAGGCAAGTCAGGAATGTAAGCTGCTCTACAGTAGACAGCATACAAAGTCAGGAGGCGGATATAGTATTGCTTATCACAACAAAGACTCGAACTGGTAGCGCCAAAAAAGTTGAGGAAGAAACGGCAACATTCTGGACTGATCCTCAACGCTCAAATGTTGCGTTATCCAGGGCAAGGTTTGGATTATTCATTATAGGTGATCTCACGATTCTGTGCAAACATGGAGCTGTCTGGTCGCGTTTCATTCATGAAGCTAGAAGCCAAACAGTTGTTGTCACGCCGGAATACGTAAGATTAATGCTAAGTGGAAATACTCAGAGGGTAGATGGGGTTTTAACAGATTTTCAGGGCAGGATGCCAGTAGCTGAAGACCATTATGCAGAGGTAAAACACCCAGAAGGGGTCGATTTCTTGGACACAGCGATGAGAGGGTACGAGGCAAGTATGGAGGTAACGGTACCACCCCAGCCTTCTCCCCTAAAAGGGGTAGAGGCCCTTCAGATCTCATCACCCAATTTTCAGGCTGGCCCTTCTGGAATCTCTGGTCCTTCTGGACCCGTAGGAAATGCACCAACACAAATGCCTTCTGGCACCTCGGCACCATTCATTCCTCAATATGTCCAACCTCAATTTGGAATGGCACCAGCGATTCAACAGCTCCCTGGTCCATCTCATTTGCAGGGAGGTTTTCAAAATATATATGAGGGGAGGTGGGAAGGTCAACCGGTAGTAAGTCACCCACATCTAATCCAATACACTCCCATTCAATCTCAGATATGCCGTGGATGTACGAGCACAGTGCCTGGGCAGCACGCTGTCACATGCCAATTTGAATTGTGCCCAATGTGCCCAACAACTGAACCACACATCCGAGCGAACTGTCCAAAGCGGCCTTGTGAGTTTTGTTACACGTTGGGACATAAATTTGAAGAGTGCCCAAAGCGAATGGAAAGTTGAAGAAAATAAATTAAAAAAAAAAAATTTTTTTTTTCATATAATGTATATACCCCAAGAGTAACGAGAGCGGAAAATTAGTAGGATTAAGAGAAAAGCGCATGCGATGTAAAAAAAAAAAAAAATTTTTTTTTGTTTGTGTAAAATAATGGCTTCCCGAACCCCAAAAAAAAAATTGTAAATATTAATTGTGATACAAACATTTCCCTACAAAAAATGAAAAGAAGAAAAAGAACTGAAGCCTAAAAGAAGTCTAATCACAAGAAAAATACAAAATGACAAACAACAAAAACTTAAAACAACAGCAAAAAATACAAAATGACAAACAACAAAAACTGAAAACAACAGCAAGACATCAAAAAAAAAAGTTATCAAAATATAGTCAACGTGAAAAAAAGGCATTATATTTCGGTGGAAGATCTCTAGAATAGAGAACCGAACTTCGTTAAATCGTCACAGGAATCTTCAAAATTTAAAAGTAATCAACATGACAAATTATTCAAAAGCAAATCTTCAAAAAACATCATTGGACAACAGACCGAGGACGGTCTACATATAGTAAAGAGGCAGCTGTAGCGCAAAAAGATGAAAATATTCAAATCCCGTCCTTTCACAAAAAATTGTTTTATGTTATAAAAATATTGAAAAAGGGTTGTAGGTTTCGCTAAATTCTTTGATCAACTGAAACTGAACCAACAACCCTATCATTGATCTAAAAATGACCCAAATGTTACACTCTCGTATCCAAAGAAAAATTTAAAAAAAAAATAATAAATGCCCAAGAAAAGATGTTCATAAAAAGGAACCACAAAAAGAAGGCATATAATAGGACAAGAGAGAGTGAAGGGAAGCCATTAAACTTAAAAATTAGATCGAGGACGATCTACTGTTAGGGTAAAGTTGTAAGGCGGAGACTTGTATTGCAAATCCTAAAATGTAAAAGTCCCCGCCTATCAATTTATCCTAGCATAAAAGCAAGCGATAAACACTTATAGTCAATTCAATTGGAATTCACTTGGGGTTCAGTTAGCATTCACTTAAGGCTTTAAATCAGCGAGCAAGCGTAGTCCTCTCTTTAGTTTAAATAAAGCTATTTAATCTTCAATGTAATCTTACAATAAATAAAATGAAAAGGGAAATAAAAGCGCTTATAATAAAAGTTTCTGGATATCGAATGTTGTTCTCGTTACTTCTTATTATTTCATTATTAATCGAAATGTATTTTACCTATTATTATCATATTTGTCGCGCTTATCTTACATTTTATATTAGTCAATAAAATTCATATTTCTCGTCTAAGGTCCTTCTGGACCACAAATGAGGGTTTGAGAAAGAGAGTGAAGAGAGCGATATCGTAGACTCCAAAAGGATAGAAAAGGAATGCACCACTGCGTTTGAGAAGGGACACCTCAATAGGGATTGGGACCAACACACTTTGCTGAATCTACTCGGTGCCGAACCGCCCATCGGCAAAATTCAAATTCGTAACTGTTACGAGTACTACAAAAATATAAATATTAAGAGGTCAAACTATGAGTAGGCTTTATTTTCAAACGTATTTTGAACATTTTAAAATTTTGGCTATTAAACAAAAAACTAATCTTATGATAAAAATAATTTTTTTATTAAAGCAGTATACCTCTCCAACAACGTTTAGTTGAGCATGTTCGACATGTTGAGGTTCTAAATTTATTATAAAATACTCCATAATAGGTAAATATTTACCTTGACGAGGTCTTAATTCCATAGAGTTGGCTCTTGGAGGCACCGAGTTTGGAGCACATCCATCGCGTTCATAACAATCACCTAAATTTCTTGTCTTTTTTCTTCTTACACAATCTACTTCCTTCCAAATCAGAGCAAATGATAAGATCAAAACAATTCCGAATACACGCATTTTCAAATTGTTTTTTAAATTTTGAACTTTGAAAAAACATCATGAGTTAGCAAAAGTGCGCAACGTTTAACACGATTTTTGGGAATCGGGAAGGCTAGAACACTTTCTTACCTCGGACTAGGTTACTGAATCACACTGGAGATATAGTATTCAGTTTTATTACCCTTTAAAAACACATGCCTCTACGCATAGCCCTCACTTGCATTCTAAACTTTTTAAGGGCTTTTGCCCATACTATACACAACAGTAATTAACTGAGGAATCGGATGGAAATCGTTGGAATTTAAAGCATCTAAAATCGGGAGTCATTTCCAAATACGACCACAAAGAAGGAAGTACATTTTTATTTAAACGCCCACGATAAGCACATGTCAATTATTGACTTTAAATTGGAAAAAATTTTTTAAAGAGGGAAGGAGCGTTGAATACAACCTGCCAATTCTGGCAGCTATTCTGGCAAGGCATTGTTTAAAATTTAAATTATAGCTATTAAAAATCGGAAGTCGATTTCCTATCAACATATGAGGGAAATCAATTTTTATTTTTACTTAGAAGGAGGAATGTGTAGCTGCAAAAATTAAATTATTTATCAATAAATAAATTATTTTATGTTTTTAAAATTAATTTTTAAAACTTGCTATGTATTTTTAGAATTTAGTTAATAGAAAAAATGTTGAAACTTTAAAATATACTACAAAAATAATTATGAAAGGGAAAAAATTGGGATCATGAGAAAAGGCAAAATATCACGGTTAATTCGTCAGTTATGGCGTAAAATGCTGAAACCTATAATGGTGTTGTGTAGTGGTGACACTACTATAAAAGCCACTGTAAGCGTCAGTCTAATTGGATCATACTAGCCCAGCTAGTCCCTGATCTCCTTCGTCTGTTCCAACTTTATCCCTTCGCCTACACATTGTTATTTCTCTACAGTTAAATTGTTATTCTATTGCACGTCGACTTTCGTACAACCCTCGGACATAACAAATGGTACCCTAGGATAAACGTCCAACTTAATAACATACATATTTAAAAATAATAGAATCAACTGTGAGCAAAATATCACGGTTTACCTAGGTCTAAAAATAGCAAGTTTTAAAAATTAATTTTTTAAAACATAAAATAATTTATTTATTGCTAAATAATTTAATTTTTGCAGCTACAAAATTCCTCCTCAGTAAAAATAAAATTGATTTCCCTCATATGTCGATAGGAAATTGACTTCCGATTTTTAATAGCTATAATTTAAATTTTAAACAATGCTTTGCCAGTATAGCTGCCAGAATGGGCAGGGTTGTATTCAACGCTCCTTCCCTTATTAAAAAATTTTTTTCCAATTTAAAGTCAATAATTGACATGTGCTTATCGTGGGCGTTTAAATAAAGACGTATACTTCCTTTTTTTGTGACCGTATTTGGAAATGACTTCCGATTTTAGATGCTTTAAATTCGAACGATTTCCATCAGATTCCTCAGTTATATACCTTTCTATTTTTCTTTAAATTAAAAAAATTTGCGGACTTAATGTTATTTTTTATGAAACAGGCGTGTTATTTTTTATGAAATCCGCTGTAAATATCAAAGATATAATACACGACTGCTTCGCTGCGGTCGTGTTCATTTTGCTTGCGGTGATCGTATCGAAGCGGCTGCTGTCGTTCCGCTGGACATGCCTGGGTTCATCCGCAGCGGCAAAAACAATACAAGCAAAATAATATCAAAAGATAAGCCAGAAATCAGAACAACGTTTCCGCACTGAACGTTGGCACTCAAAAGGCTTCTTAATAAAAAATAGATACATATTTTGCCTATTTTTGAGCCTAAAAATGATTAAAATAACTATTCCTTATGAAAAAATAGCTTCCGAATGAAAAAATAGACATTTTATCCTATTTTTGGCCGTGTAGAGATTTTAAGGCATTTTACCCGTGTAGAGATTATGAGGAATAGAGATTTTAAGGAATAGTTATTTTAATCATTTTTAGCCGAGTAGAGATTTTAATGCATTTTAGCTGTGTAGAGATTATAAGGCATTTTAGCCCAGTAGAGATTTTAAGGAATAGAGATTTTGAGGGGATACGAAACAGGCCCCTGTTTTTATCATTTTTGACACAGTGCCATTTCATTCACTTGAAGCATAACAAACTTTAGATTTTGATAAAATTTGTTCTGTATATATTTATTTAACCTCTTAACAAATTTTAAACTTATATTATAAATAATTTTTCTTGTTTTAATAGTTTAAGAACAAAATAAAGCTGTTTACTAATGTTAGCAGCTCCGGGTATGCCGAACCGGAAAACTCGGATATGGAAACTTTTGTTTTGATTATCGATCCGGGATACCCGAGATAGCCATGAAACTTCTTGGGGTTCCTCGGGTTTGCTCGTTTCCTCACCAAAATTTGTGGTGATGAAATAAAAAAAGAAAAATTAAGAAATTTATGTGCATGGTGATAAAAGCTGTACATATCTAAATTGCTTTTTGAAAATTTCAAGACATTTAGAAAAAAATTGAAAATGAGTGTATTCAAAATTGTTATAGTTTTATTATTTGCGGTACTTTGGAACGAAATTGATTGCACAACTAGAAGGGGAAGAAATTCGCGCACTCAAGGTGCTCATCAACCAACTGAAGAAGCTCAGCCTTCAGGAGGAGACGATGGAAATACTCAGACAGCTAACCCAAATCGTGTAACGAATGCAAGGACTCATTTAGGAAATGTTGCTTTACTTGCCCGTCGACTAGCGGAAATGAATCAGAGAAGTAACTTAAATTAGATATTACCCTATTATGTTTAACAGATTATCAAGAAGAAGGAGGGCCACAGTATGATCAACATCACAATGCAGAGGATGAGCAAACCCGCCAAAATGAGCCTGGAGAGGTAAATTTATTAAAACATACTGAATAAAAAGTTTATAATATTAATAATATACTTAATATACTATTGTATATTATCAATCAGTTATATTTATTCTAATATAGGAACTGGATAATCCGATTGGAAGTGGATTCCGAATTCGTGAACATTTGTTTGACGGTTGGTTATAACCCACCGAATTAGTTATATCTTATTCCGGGGGTCCTACCTCTATTAAATCAATGATTTTATCATTCTTAAGATTTTTTCATTTCTAAATAATTTTAAATAAAAATAATTATAACTTCAGCAACTATATTTAATAAATTAATAGGTCAAAATATTGGCAATATGCAAGCTCAGTTAGAATGGGCACAACCATCTCCAACGAATAACTATTCTGTATACAATCCTAATGGATTAAATGTGATTTATGTTATAAAAATTTAAAATAGACTTTGGAAACATCCGTATACTTTATATTAAATTTTGGATTATACCCTATTTTTAAACAATTTCAAAAGCCCAATAACTAAGCCAAAATTTATCATAGATCCTTAACATAAAAATTCCTCGGAATTCTAGGCATATCTGAAGCCAAGTAAAACGGATTGGCCGACCAAATTGAATTTGGCTGGCCAGAAAATACTTTAAAATATACTAATTAAATTTCTATATTAGTTAACTGTTGATCTTTATGGACCTCAACAACAGAATGTAGGAACTAGTCATGTCCGTCAATCGGGATCAAGAAGGACTAGACGTAATAGAAAAAACGCCGCTCCTCCTCTTCGATACGGTAAATACTAATTTTAATAAACTCGCAATAATAAATTTATAGGATATCTTGCGCCATCAGATGATGAACAACAATGAGACAACGAATAGGATTTTTAAGAGAAGAATAGGTGGTGAGCATCGTAACGATTATTCGAGTTATTACTTTCATTTGCTCAATTTGGTTGTTAATTATTGAGCAAACTCTTTATTTTATCTTTCTGCTTATTCTACCACTACAAGATGGTAATGGCAACTAAAGTTCTATCGGTATCTCCAACAAATTTGTCTAGTTCCATATTTTATAGTTAGTAATAGAGACTTCCAAGACCGGAAATTTTCCAAGACTAAAGACAAAGACCTAAGACTAAGACTTGTCCTCAAGACTGTTTTTAGTCCCATATGGCAAATTTTCGGTTAATTTCTCGGGTCTTAGAAAAGTAAATTACAAATATTTACTATATTGCCATTACCATATTTAAGGGCAACTTTTTCTTTTCATTCTTTCCCTGGCTCAATTTGGTTGTTATTTTTGAGCAAACTCTTTTCTTTCTTCTTATTTAAAATTTTATTTTTTTTATTATTCGAATCTGTCTTTTACAATGGTTGAGTAAACTTTTCATTTTTCAAATACAAAAATTTTTAAAAAATATTACAGCCATCGAATTATATAATAGTAGAAATATTAATTAGAATTAACAAATAATTGCCACCCCTCAAACACCTCTCTACTTTAAACATTTTTACAATTAACTAGACTAAAAATAGCAAGTTTTAAAAATTAATTTTTAAAACATAAAATAATTTATTTATTGCTAAATAATTTAATTTTTGCAGCTACACACAAGAATTCCTCCTCTCGGTAAAAATAAAATTGATTTCCCTCATATGTCAATAAGAAATAGACTTCCGATTTTTAATAGCTATAATTTAAAATTTAAACAATGCCTTGCCAGAATAGCTGCCAGAATTGGCAGAGTCAACGCTCCTTCCCTTATTAAAAAATTTTTTCCAATTTAAAGTCAATAATTGACATGTGCTTATCGTGGGCGTTTAAATAAAAATGTACTTCCTTCTTTGTGGTCGTATTTGGAAATGACTTCCGATTTTAGATGCTTTAAATTCGAACGATTTCCATCGGATTCCTCAGTTAATTCCTCAGCTGTGTATAGGCCTTAAACAGTAAAATGCTAGTGAGGGCTATGCGTAGAGGCATGTGTTTTTAAAGGTTAATAAAACTGAATACAATATTTCCAGTGTGACTCAGTAACCTAGTCCACGGTAAGAAAGTGTTCTAGCCTTCCCGATTCCCAAAAATCGGGTTAAACGTTGCGCACGTTTGCAAAACTCTTATTATAAATTGCTCTTTTCAAATTTCAGAATTTAAAAAAACAATTTGAAAATGCATGTATTCGTAATTTGTTTGATATTACTATTTGCGATGATTTGGAAGGAAGTAGATTGTGTAAGAAGGAAAAAAACAAGAGGTTTAGATGATTGTTATATTCAAGATGGATGTCCTTCACACTTGGTGCCTCCAAGAGCCAACTCTATGGAATTAAGACCTCGTCAAAGTAAATATATTTACCAATTATGTAGGATTTTATGATAAAATTTAGTTCCTCAACATGTCGAACATGCTCACCTAAACGTTGTTGGAGAGGTACACTTTAATTAAAAATTATTTTTATCATAAGATTAGTTTTTTGTTTAATAGTCTTGAAATTTTTAAAATATTAAAAAAACGTTTGAAAAGGGAGTTGGGAAAGTTAGATTTGACTCGTAATCTACAAGTATTTCATCCTGCTTCTAGTTTGGCGTCTTAACATTTATATTTTTGTCGTACTTGTAACAGTTACGAATTTGACTTTTGGGCTGTACTTTAGCCGATGGCCGGTTCGGCACCGAGTAGATTCATATATCATTCGGTTCTTTTATGCGAGCTAAGTCTATAAAGAGATTGTAAAAAAGGAAATGTTTAAATAAAATTATCAGGCTGCACCTCCTCAACAACCAACGATAAGTGCTTCGCCCCCAAGATACAACAATGCACCCGAACAACCGCCACATCAAGCGGCTAATACACAAACACCAACGAAAAGAAGTGAACGAATTGCTGCTCAGCAAATAGCAAAAGCTCAGCAAGTAGCAAGATCTCAGCAAGAGCGTCATAGCGAAACCGGTAAAGCTAATACAGATAAACATTTTTATTAAACTTCAATTTTCTAGGTCCTCAACAAACAACTGCTGGAACTTCATCAGGCATCAACTCGCGTCGCCCTCATCCACGTACCCCTCATTTTATAACTGGTAAATATTTAATTTTAACATAATTTTGTTTGAACGCTTGGCAAAATAATTTCAAAGCTTTCATCAAATACTTTTCAATTTGTTGTATTTAAGAGAAAGGAATAAGAGAGATTCGCTTAATAGGCGGGAGTTTAAGAGCTATATTAAAAGAGAAGGAAACGCAGCGCCTCGATATCTCAGTCGATAAACTTGATGAGCTAAAGCGCGCAGCTATAACTTTCAAAAGATCGTAGGATTGATTAATGCTTGGGCTAAACTTTTATATCTATTTTACTTATATCTAATTTAAAATTATTATATCTAATTTAAAATTATTTCTTTCAAGTTAAAATTAAATTTTATTCAAATCATAATTGTAATCTTTTCAGGTTATCTTGCTCCATCTTCAGATGATGATGATCAAGAAAGCAAATAAACTTTCTCAAAAGAAAACAAGATGGAGGAGATCGTTACGATTATTGGAGTGATTATAGGGGGAAAACATACAAAATCTGTCACATTGACCATGATTTATTTAAAATTTTCTTTCTTTTTTATTTCATCATTATCTTAAAATGGTTGAGTAAATTTCTTCTTTCTTTTCAATTCATTGAACTTGCTAAAAGTTAAAGCATGAAACTTTAAGTATATTTTAGCGTTGACTTATGAAGTACTAATTATTAGATATTAAGTGGTTTGGTTTTGCCGACAGGCCCCTCACCTCTAAAATGTCAGCCAGATAGGTCGAACATTTTCGAGCGGGGGTAACTACAGAATATGTTTAGCCAATTTAAATATCAATTTAAATTTAAAAAATTTTATCAAGTAATATAGTAAATTATCAAAGTTAAAAGACTCAAGGCCATCATATTATTCTCTTGCTTATTTATTTGTGCCGATGATTTTGGAGAAGAACGATGCGTTGTGCCTTTAATAGGGGTAGTAGATTCCTTTTTGACCGATACTTTCGTGGTTGTGGAAGATACCCAACTATTTGTTTCTGTCTCAGTCGTTGTTGTTGATACGGGAAGTAAAGAGTCCACATTACACAAATCGGTGTGATTACACGTTACACAATTTTTGTATTTTGGAGGGCATTCGCCGCAGTTTTGTTCGGCTTAAAATTATTTTTTGAATCGAAGAAATTGAGAAGATTGTTACCCCTCCAAAAGACGTCCCTAGCAATGTAGCAACTGCTATCAGTTGGATGACACGTCCTAGCATTCTTCTCATAAGGTAGTTGATTGTAAGTAAGCTGGTAACATTTAATTTGGGGAAGTTTTGTTTCATCATTGCAGAGAGGAGTTGAACAATTAAAACATTTATCGAGATTATGCTGTCCCGAACATTTACCACAGCCTTGTACTATTCCTTAAAAAATGGGGGCAAAGATAACCGACAAATACCTTAAATTCTAATTTACCCTTCTCTTCTTTATTAATCCCAACAAAGCAAAATCCTTTCTTACAAACTCTTTTTCCTTTCGTTGCTGTCCATTTGTTAAACTCTTTTTCCCAACAAAACAATTGACTTTCAAAAAATGTATCTGCATTACAAGCTGGTTTATTATTACATTGGGCGCATTGAACTTTACTCATATTTATTTTCTTTATTTTGTTTTGGAGTGTTAGATCTTTAGTCTTGATGTATGGAGAAAGGTTGAGAATCCCTGATGGACATTTTCCACAATCATAGTGGAATTGGTCTATCTTCTCGTCTATAATATTAGGATTTAAGACTCCGTCTCATCGAGGTATTGATACCCGAATATCCCCGACTTAAAATTAAGAATAAGTAAAGCAGCTGGGCTATAGCTATTTTTCTCCTTTAGCTAGTGCAAAAGCTTAATCCGCGGCTGGGAGCGAACCAGCATCTTCACTAGACCGGACTGATGTGTTAGCCATTACACCACGTTGCTTACTGCACAGCCTTAGGAATTAACTAGCTATATGTATAAATAATACCGAGGATTTGAGGAAATAATGGGGATACAAAAGTTTAAAGGGATTATGAGGCATATTAAGAGATATATTAAAGTATCAACTTAAAGAACCACCAAACTCCCTCCTAATCCCTATACATATCTCTTTATCATGCGAAATCCTCTATACCCTCAAAATTATTTCAGCAGATGATTAGAAAGAACACACCTCCATGTCTCTCTTTAATCTTAGCAATATAACAGTCAGATTCGTTACATTTATTAAAACTGCCCATAAATCCGAAGCAATAAAAAGGAGCAGGTTTAGTTTCAATATTGCAACGATGCCCTTCACATTCTTCACAAGTATGGAAAGGGCACTTTCCACATCCTTTTTTAACTTTAAATTTCTCAAAAATTATTGAAGAATTTATTTTTAAAACCCTCATTTGTTGGAGTTCTCCATGTATAGCAAGCATCGTTAAATTTTGTTTTGCAAATTTTATTTTTATCTGTCCAACAATGTTTATAAACTTTATCCTCAGAGTTACAATAATGCCCTTTTTTACATGTTATACATTCTGTTTTGTCTGTTATTATTGAACAATTTCCACATCCTTGTGTTACTATAAGGAGATAATTAATCTCTTACTAACATCCTCAATATAATATACCCCCTTGGGATAAGAAATCGTAGGATACCTTAATTTAAGTAACTCTTGTTGAGTAAAAATCGTCCTTATTCCCCAACAATCGTCCACTTATGATATTATTAAAGCCAGTGTCAGCGTCAACTATTCGGATCAGTCTACCACGGGTAGTTCCTTACCACCACGGGTAGACACTCTGACTTTTATGATACACAGGCCTTTATACTTTCAAAAATATT